TTTTTTCATTTCAATGCTCAGGATACAACAGTGTGCCGAATTACCAGCTCGAGTGATGGTCAGTATGTAGCTGTGCAGTGTGACAGGTGAGTCCCCGTGTGCGACTCTGTTGTTGTTGGACTGTGCACTATATACAACTTTACAAATTTAACCAGATGAGCGCCAAATTAAAGGAAAAACGAGTAATGGAACAACAAATACAGTTATCATTTATCATCATGCTCAGTGGCAGGCGGAGGTCATCTAAGATAAGGACCCACTCTGTGACGTGCTGGCCAGTCACAGGAGCACATTCAGTGAGACAGAGATTACCCATAATGCACCACTGAGCGACACAGGACATGATTCCTGCCTGTGTCTCTCTGTACAACTCTTCTATCTAATACACAGTGCAGCAGTTTTACCCTTTTGCTCTACAGTAAAATAACAGATGAAGTTTTACAGGTTGGAGTAAAATCTCAATCATATATATTTCACCTCCGTTATAGTCTTGATATTTATAATTAAGCTATTTGTATATATTAGAGCTATTTCTTATATTTTAATAGATTAAATGCTGTGTTGAGATGGATTTTAAAATCACCCACAATAATTCTTTAATTTAATCTAAGCACTAAATCGGATTAAAAAAACCAGAGAAATTGGATAGAAACTCCAAGTAAAGGCCAGATGGACGTGTGGAGTGGTGTACTGAGCGATTCTGTTTAGGCTTCCGAGGAAGAGGCTGAGGAGTAGCTAGCTTATGTGTGGTAGTTGGTTTAAGCTAGTTATGTAGGGCTTACCTTTGCTTTAACGATGAAACGTTTCTTCTTCACCTCCTACATGATGGCGCTATTTAACCATCCAGATCAAAAATACATGTTGCTGTCCTTACTTTGAAGGCTGCTATCATGGCTGTATGTGTCACTCTGTGAGCGGTGCCATTTTCAGGGATTTAAATAAAGCTGCTGGGGCAGAATATGGATCACACTTCCCCAAAAGTCGTAGTTTCTTTGCATGTGTTCGTTTTTTCCTCCATTGATAGATAATCCAAGTAGTCTGGGCATTTTTGTCCTGCAGTACCACCGACTGTCCGCTATCTGTGGTCACAATGGAGTAATGTTTTGCCCACCAGGGTCAGAAGACTGAAAAGTAAACACAAGCACTTTGCGTGTTGTGAGAAGTGCAGCAAAGTCCAGCTCTTTACCTTTACTTTCTTTGTTTATAACGATTTCTCCAAACATTAGATTAAACATTCTTCACCTTTTAGTTTTGTTAAATCAGTTGCACTCTCCATCCTGCTGACAATCCTGGGACCCACTGTCTATTTTTAGCTGCCAGCTCCCACCTACAGAAACTTTAAACCCACCCATCCTGTGCATTCGCGCAGGGCACCAATGTGAATTGCACTCTCCTACCACTTGGGTCTATTTTCCGGAAACATGGGATTTCCTTCCACTGCTATGCTGATGACTCCCAGATTTATTTCCCACAAAAGATAAATGGCTTCTCAGTAGACCCGCTGCTCAGATGCCTTGATGAAATAAGGGCCTGGATGGCTTTGAACTTTTTACATTTTAATGAACAGAAAACAGAAGTGATGGTTTTTGGTGGCGCTTCTGAGGCCACTATTATAGATCTTGGTTCGCTGGCA